CAGAGAGGAGGGAAAGAGCGATCCAATCACGGGGATCATCAGGAGATGCGGGAACTATAAAAGGAGCACCTGAACGCGATTGTGTGGCCAGCCTTTTGTTTTGTGAACTGCAACCGTGTGCTGAGTCCTTTGTTACGTTTTTGTTGACATTCGTTTGATTATTGATTTAGTTCGTTTATATTAAGTTTGTCATGTAAATTAGAGTGTCTTAAACCTGAACTCCTTTACTCATTATCTGAACTTGAGTAAATGCTTTATTAAAAGTGGGATAAAAGAAAGGGGTCAGGTAAGATGTCACGTGACATACATTGCGCACATGTAGTTTTTTTCTTTGTTTAAAAACACTAGATTTAGGGACAAGTGCCACTGTTGTATTTTTGTTTTGGTTAGTTAGTGTAGGGAAGTATACGACGTCTCGGACGTTGAAGATCTTTCTTTTCTACATTTTATTTTTTATTAGTTAGGTTAGATTAAATTCGGGTAAGAAAGATTGTTTTCTTTTTATTAATTTCTTTGAGTTGGCACTGTCCAGTTGCCCTTTTCTTTCCACAGAATTAATACATAATTTGCTGGTATGTTTATGTTACTTTATTGATTGGTTAATATTTGTTTGAATTGTTTCTTCATGAATATGTGTGCTGTACACATATTTTATGGAGAGCTATTTTGACCGGTTGTGGCCAGCAATAATAAAATAAAACCTTAAATATTCTACTGCCTTTGTTTCTCTCAGTCACTTCCCAGTGTTTTCTATGGTGGGTGTCGAGGGATGATTAATGTTCCCCTTCTAAATCCCTAGACGGTTAAAAACTAAGAAGGGTCGTAACACTCCAGCATAGTACAACAAAGTTCCTTTTAAATCATTAAAACTGTAATGCTATCGGCTATTAAAATCGTGCCTGCGACGAGGGCCGGTGGTCTATGAAATTTCCTGGTAGATTTTTTCGTCCCACTCCGCCCCTGGTACTAAGTCCAGTGCACATTCTGGGAAGCCATGGATGATGACAACGGTCAACGCTTACTGGAACTTTGCAGCACCCACAAACTCTATGTCCCCTCCTCATTCTTTCAGGGCTCAAGTTTCTCCAAAGTCACCTGGCGTCATCCATGTTCTAAGAGCTAGCACCAACTTGACCATGTACTGGTGAAGCGTGAGGATTTGAAGGAAGTAATACACTGCCGATCACTGTACTCAGCAGATTGTGACCCTGATTACGCCCTTTTATGCTGTAAATTAAGGATGGTTCCAATCAAATTTCATTACGCAAGGCCCAAGCCTACTCCTCATCTGGATGTTTCTGCAACCTACGCTCCTGCGTCGCATCATGCGTTCCAGGAACTACTTGCTTCCAGCTTTGACTCTTCACCTCCTCATGCAGATATTAAGGCTGCCTGGCAGCACTTCCACTCTGTTACCACAAAGCCTGCATTCTCCATCCTTGGAAAGCGATCCAGATCACAGCCTGACTTGTTCAAAACCCATGCCAGCCTGCTCCAACCTGGAATTGACAATTGACAGCCAGACTGTCCTATCTGCAGCACAACACTCACTCAAATAGTGCAGCATTGAAGCAGGCATGCAGCAATGTCCAACGGGTCACTCGAGAGCCATGCAGGATTACTTGAGCACACTGTAGCCCCTTTTCCACCAAAGCATTTTGAGAGCCGGTTCGGAGCCGGTGCCTGCGCGCGAACCAGTTCTTTGTAATTCGACAGCCAAAGAACCGGTTCTCGGCCAGGAGAACTGGTTCCAAAGCGGCACCAACTCTTTGCTGGACTAGAACCGTTCTTTTATCATGTCATGCTTACGTCAGGGGCTGAGGCGGGTTTAGATGTGTTCTAAACATCTTTTCTGACCATAATATAGGATCGCAAAGCCAGGAGAAACATTTGCAGAAACACGATGGAGTCTGCCTTTGTAATTGTTATGCTTGAAGTTGGCGCAAGCGTTTCTATTTTTTTTTATTGAAAACATTATAAGCAAGGAAGAAAACAGTCACAATATAGAACAAATAAATGGAAAGAAAAAAAGACACAATATAGGGGTACATAACTAATCAGAAAAGATTAAAAGACTTACATATTTCAATTGTTTTTAAAGCCTTCTTGGTACGAGAGTTAGAGATAATCACAAAGTAATGTTGTACTGTACTTGCAAGCGTTTCTAGCTAAGACATATGGTGACGTACACAGTGAGGTAAAAACGTCGCTCCATGGACGCTCTAGTCAGTGGAAAAACAAAGAGGTTCTGAACGGGTTAGCAAGTTGAACCAACTCCGAACCAACGTTGAACCAGCACCAGTTCCGAACCAGTTCTTTTTTGGTGGAAAACGGGTATGTGTGACCGTAATGAGTTAAGCGCGTTCACTGGAAACATCCAAGGTGTCTTTGAAGGTCTGAAAAAAGCCTTGGGCCCAGTCCCTAAAAAATTCTCTCCACTCTGTTCCCTATCAGGCAAAGTTCTGACCAATTTGGAATATCAACTGTCTGAGCGATTGCTCTTGTCTGCCTGCTATAAGCTTTGTTTGCGTTGAGGCTGTAAGATCTAAGCTTAGCTCTATCTCTCTAATCTCTAAGCTCTATTAGCTTCGTATTTTTTCTGTTTTGAACCATGATTTACTATAATTTCTAGTTGTTTATGAATACAGCTTCCGTTATTTGTTAGCACAGCACGTTAGTAGGCTACTCGTGCGCTAAATTATTTACTTTCTTTCGCGAGACCCATGTCTTTGAGTCAAAAAAGCTCAGGTAAGTAAGAATCAGTCAACAAACACAGTCTTGTTCTGTTACACTGGAAAAAATGCCCCTCCAAAAATAAGCAAAAAAAAATTAATACAAGATATTTTTGCTTGTAATAAGCAAAAAAATCTGCCAATGGAACAAGTGAAAATTCTCTTGGTAAGATTTCTTGAAATAAGACATTATATTTAAGCCTTAAAAGATATGAGTGATCTTGAAATTAGCAGGGAAAACTCATTTTTAGCTATATTATACTAGTATTGTGATGTTTTGTGTCTCATAATAAGCTTGTCATGCTCAAAAATAGCATTTTCCCCTCAAAAGTAGCATTTTCTTTTGTCATCCTCTTTGTTTCAAGTGTATTTAACTAATTTTTAGTTCTATAATTGTTACACTCTTCTAGATATAAGTCACCACCAACTTGAAATAAGATTGGAAACTGGCATTTTGAGACAAAATGCCTTGAAGTTAGCATTCCTGACTCATATTAGGCAGTCCTCTTTTGCCATAATAAGCCATAATTTACCATACTGTAATCATCTCAAGTGTATACCTTCTTGTAAGCTCAACAAAAGTGACATGGTTCTAGATTCAAGACATTTTACCTACTAGATTTAAGACATTAACTACTGTTTACTAGACAGAAAAAGTGAAAAATAGACATACATTTAACCTTTTTTATTTAATTTTTTAAACCGCAAAAATTCCCAGAGGACTGCACAAAACGGTAAAAGTATTTATGGAGCTGCAATATAAAAACATTGTAGAATATTTTATAGATTATAAATGAAAGATCTCTTTACCCTACTCCCACACCTAAACATACCGATTTTATAGACAATATTAAAGGGATAGTTCACTTTGAAATTAATTTTTGATGTTTTAGCTTACCTCAAGGGCATCCAAGATGTAGGTGTCTTCTTTTCCACAGTATTTTCAATTTTGACATTTTTCGGTCAAACCGTTGTTGTCTGTCAGTCATATAATGCAGGTATGGGGGTCCACGTCAAAGAGCATGCACAGAGAAGTCCAAATTAAACATGATTTAATGACTCGTAAATGTAAGTACACATTGATGGCCTAAGACACGAAACGAGCGTTTTGTGTGAGAAAACAAACAGTATTTATATAGTTTTTACCTCTTGTTCACAGCCATGTCAAACTGATCTGAATCAGATGTCAAACTGAACCGAACCGTGTCCAACATTACGCCAGAAGTGATCTCTCGCGCGTCAGCAACATCTGATTCAGATCAGTTCGACATGGCCGTTTACAAGAGGTAAAAACTATATAAATACTGTTCGTTTTCCCACCCCCTCCGCTCATTTCGTGTCTTTGGCCATCAGTGTGTACTTACATTCAAGAGTCATTAAATCATGTTTAATTTTGACTTCTCTGTGCATGCTCTTTGAGGTGGACCCCCTAAACCTGCATTATATGACTGACAGACAACACAGGTTCGACCAAAAAATGTCAAAGTTGAAAATACTGTGGAAACAAAGACACCTACATCTTGGATGCCCTTGAGGTAAGCGAAAACATATCAAAAATTAATTTCAAAGTGAACAATCCCTTTAAAAGGATAAAACGTAATGAACATAATGTGTAGGGCAATGGCAGTTTTATTAACAATAAAGCATTAAATTAAATATAGTTTGAGCCACTAATCCTACCCTAACCCATTTCTTAAAACTATGTAACTAACGTTACAATTATAAATAAAAACAACAAACATAACGTTACATGTTTAAATCGCAATAATTTATTTAGTGAGAAAATGTCAAAACCGGTACCAAATAAATATCTTTCTTCTTGTTCAGCAGAAGAAAAAAATTCATAAAAAAAACAACATATTATTGCAAATGAACAAAGTTGAATCAAATATGTTTCTAGAACAGTGATTAAAATTGGCTCGAATATGTTTTAGTATGTGACATCAACTCTGGTGTTGATGCACTCTAAAAACATTTAATATGATTTACTAACCTTTTTAAACTTAAGAATATTGATTAAATTTTTAAGCAGTGAAAGCAATTACTAACACTGTATTAACTGAGTAAATGTTAGTAAAACAAATTAAATAGATCTGAGTAACTGCATTTGGTACATTAACAAATAAACTTGAGTAGAAATAATTGGGGGAAAACATTTAAAAACAAATAATTATGAGTAATATAAACTGTGTTTATATGGCAGTAATATTAACTTTTTTTATTTCCTCTAAACCTTTGTAAAATATTCCATACAACCACCAGCATAACTACATGACACGGCCTTTATTGTCAATTAATATCCTACCATTACAGCAAACATATTTTATTCTATTTTTAACACATAAGTTATACAATATTGACTACATCTAAACTCATGTAAGAAACATTTTCGATGTAAAAATTAAACATTTAGGCCTAAACATTAAAGTAATTCAAGTGTAATAACCGGTCTGTTATCCAGTATTCACCGGGTCAGCGCTGGTTCCCATGCCGGAGATGGACTCGCCTCTGCGGGGAAACTTCTAAATTTAGACCGCCGTCGTCCTGCGTCACTCACAGCCGAAAAATGCTGCGACGCGACTGACTCCATAACCTGCCAATAAACAACCAGTGCACAGTTCTGAGGACATTTTATCATCCAAATTAGTTATATCCATTATCTTTTAGAATATAGTCGTGTGTTTTTTTTTATGCAAGGCCTTACAATCACGCGAAAAGGCAGGCGCAAGTCGACACTCGTTTAAGGTGAGTAACATTGCGTCTCTGTATGTTCTTTTTTCATTAAATAAAATTATTTAAAGCATATTAATGATTATACAGATAAAATAAAACAAACAAACCTTAATTTCAGGTGGAAATGCTCCAATTCTGCGCCGATGAGAAGAGAAGAGGAGAAGAGATCTGTTCTTTTCTGGACTGGGAGAGTTCAAACAGCGCGCAACCGCAAGTTCAAACAGCGCTCACTCAAGTTCAACCGTTGAGTTGTCGTCACGTCAGAGGGTGGGGAGGGGTGCTCATAGACAGTAAAATACATTTTAATTGAGTAAACTTAATTAATTTCTTATGCGTGTTAAATAATAATATTGATTTTATTTTAGAAATATTTGTGGTTCTTGAGACAGATCAGTTTAATTATCCAGTCTCAAATATTGTGATGGAAATTTCACAAATATTAGCTAAGTGTATTTTAAATTAATAATTGGTTAGTCAAAAACTAAATTAGCCTATTTTAGTGAAAAACTTAAATATAACTGTAAATTTCAGACAAAATTAATTGTTGGAGTTTTAGTCATTTATTTCGGTATGTTCAACTCAAACTATTGAGTAAATTATATTCAGAGATTTTAGTTAATAAAGACTTCAACACTTCAACATTTAGGAAAGTTTTTTGTTTGTAGGTTGTACCATAGTAGTACTGTGATAAAGTTTAGAGAAATTGTCAAAAATGAAAATGAAATCGATGCAGGATATAAAATGAAACCTATTGATATGTGAAATATGGAACTGCATCTTGTAGAACACATTCTAATAAAAATAATTTTGTAATTAAAATGTGCGCTTGCGTGTGTGTAGTTTAAATGTTTTGTTTTTAATCTAAGACAGATTATACAGTATGTAACCATGACTGATACAGGCATAGGCCCCTCGACTCAGTGCAGTAAATAAATCAATCAGTAGGCTGTACTTCCCTCATGCTGGTTCTTATCTTTTCCTCTGTTTATACACATCCATGCTGAAAATTCATATTAAATTTGCATTTTTTTGTTTTTACTTCATGAAAATCTATATTGCTTTAGTTGTTTGTAGGACACATATTACATAATATGATTAAAAATACATTAATATTATGCAATTTATATATGTGGTTTTTGCATATGTCCCTTACAATATTCTGTTGGAACATATACAAATCACAGGAGTTTTTAGCAAACCTTTTCCATATGGGAAGGTTTTAAAGTATATTATTGTTAAACACCATGTAGGCTAATGCTTCAAAGCGAGTTTGCAGCAAAAGGCACGAACAGAACGAAATGTTATTATTTATGAGTAACGTTAAACTATTAATAAATGAGACTGAAAATTTAATTGATAAGACAATTGAATGCAATAGAGTCAAAACCACGATTTTAATATGCATAAGTTAAATAGGAATACATACAAATTTGTATGTTGGTAAAGTTGTTTATACGTAAATAAATTACGTTTTTTGTTTGTTTTTTTTTTTTTTGCTGTCATGTCATTGTGAGTTGTTGTGAGTTGGGCATGTTGGCCTGCAGTTTTCAATGAAGCAGATTTGTCTCAATTCAAGTTAAGTCTGTTTCTTGAAACAAGACGATTCATCTTTTACAAATAACACAGCAGCTTAAAAAACTGTCAAAATGTCAAAAAAGCTTGTTTCATCTGAGATATGACTCAAAACAAGATATTTTTAAGACAGTTTCACTTAACAAGATATTCAAGATGCACTGTCTAAAAACAAGCTCCTGTATCTTACTTAAATCTTGGTCTTTAGGTAATTTTGTCTTATATTAAGTGAGCTGAGATATTTTGACTAGAAATTAGAAAAATATACTTGGCAAGATTTTGAGTTTTTGCAGTGTATTGACACCTGTGTCACATGTCAAATGTTTAGTATAGCCTTCTCTGATGGCAATATAGGATTTATATATGATAAATGGAAGGAGACAGTCAGGCTGACGGAGAAGATTTCAAAATTAGAGACACGCATCCAAACTTTAATTGAGGATAGTAAGGAGAGTACTAGAGATTTAGATAGAGTTTTGGATGCACCTAGGAATATTAGGTGGACACTTGAACATTAGCAGCCTAATTTCCAAAAGGGATCAGATTTCTGTACTCCTTATGGACTCAAATTTGGATTATCTTTGTCTAACAGAATCCTGGCTTCAAAGTAATATACCAACTAATATGATAGACATTGCTGGATATCAATGCTTCAGAAAGGACAGAACTGTTGGCAAAGGAGGAGGAGTTTTAATTTACATAAAAGATAAATTTAATTGTCATAAAGTTGAATTGAAAACCCCTCTGGAATGTTTAGCTTTAAATGTAATTTTATCACCTACAATGAATTTTAATATTGTTGTTCTTTATAACCCACCTTCACATAACATTACCTTTTATGATGAATTAAGTTTTGTAGCTAAACAACTTGATTCTTATAGAGAGACTGTATGGTATGGTGATTTTAACATTAATTGGTCTGATAAAAGTGGTAAACAAAAATTAAAAACAATCATGCCAAAATTTAATTATTTACAAATGATTAAAGGGCCCACTAGGATAACAAGACAGACCAAAACCCTTATTGATATGGCGTTTACTAATAAACCAGAACGTACAACAAGGACGTACAATCTGATAACAGGTCTCTCAACATGATTCTGACAGCTAGAAAACTGCCTAGAAAGCGGCTACAGTATTTTGGCAAATCTGGTTGTGATAAATCAACATTTATCATTCCTGAAGCTAAAACTGTGCTGTTTGAAAGAGAACTCAATCACTTAAATTGGGAGCAGATCATGGCTATGAATGATGTTGACGAGTGCTGTAATTCTATGATTACAGCTATCTCAGGAGTAATAGATAAATTTATAAAACAAAAAAGATGTAGCCAGAAAGAAACAACTATACCATGGATAAGTAATGAAATCAGAAAGCTTATGAAGAAGAGAGATTTGGCTCTGAAAAAATCATTGTGCTAAAAAATGAATACTGATCTGTTTAACTTACAAATGTTTAAGAAATAAAGTAGTACTAGAACTACGTAAAGCAAAGGTTTCTTATTATACTCAACTTATAGGTAATGCTAAGGGCAATAATAAATCCATCTGGAGACATTTACATAATCTTAACTAATAAAACAAATAAACAAAGGGATAAAGGAACTTACCATAAATGGAAAGAACATAAATAATAATGCTACTATGGCTAATGAATTGAATTCATATTTTGTGCAATCCGTAGAAGAACTAACAAAGATTTTGAGTCTTAGGTTTAAACTATCCAACTGAGTGACGTCTGCGGACTCCTTTAATATTACAGAGGTTACGGAGACAAAAATTGCAGAAATGATTAATAAATTGTCATTCTTAAATCAAATGATATCTATATGATGAACAGTGCTTTTTAAAAACGTACAGAACTGTGTTAGTTAAGCCACTGACACATCTTGTTAACCTGTCTATAAGACGTGTACATTTCCATTAGCATGGAAAAAAGCAGTCATTGTGCCAGTATTTAATCACGGAAGTCAGGACTCTATGTGTAACTATCGTCCCATA